CTTATACTAAAGAAAACAAAGACAAGAATTTTTGCTCAACTGTAAGAATGACATTGATATATATTGTTATGACACTTGAATGTAATCTCATCCAGACAATTTGAATAGAAATTTACTTAGCTAAACTCAATTTTGACATATTTAGAAAGTCTAATCTTATTTCGAGAATTTGTTTTTAAATGATTCATGTCTTCCTTATTTTAGCGATTCTTTTACGATAATGGAAGTAACCTTCTACTTGTTTATCAAATAAAAACTGATAATTATGAATTAGTTAGCTTGTCGTTTTGACTATTTGTTTTGCTTTCAAAAAAGTTATTCTTGATTATCAAGTGATATAAAAGATAAAGTTTGCAATCAATTTAATCGGTTCAAGTTAAGTTTGTCTATAAAGAATATATTCGACTAGAATTGTATTCTATCTTCCAAAGATAATTTAATTAATCTCTTAGAATAAGTTTTATTTGAATTGAGTTAGTACTTTAAAATAGGATTCTTTTAATTTGTTGATTGTTTTCAAACTTGCACACTTTTATATTCTGTATTGAATATGACTTATATCTTGGAACAAGATGACTACAATCTAAAATATTTTCTCTATTAAAAACTTAATCGAGTATCAGCATCAGATGTATGAATAGATTGAAGAGTCTCGAAGAGAAGACCACAAAATGCATTATATATTATGTAATATGCAACAAGCACTATAAGAAAGATGAATAATCCATACATCTCGGTAAATACTTTTCTATCCGAAATAACTTTTTCTCATGATCAGTACAGAATTTAATATCAATTTTTTTGTTGTGTTTACATGTAATATTGATTATTCTGATCCCACATTTTCAGTTTTTCTATATTTTGCTATGTGTTTGTCATGGCTAAATTATTTTATTTTTTTGGATCCCTGTTCAAAACCTATCTTTGATAAGTACTTTGAAATATGAAACTGTGCAATAATAAAACTAAACATGCATATATAAATACATGTTTTGTCGGCGATTCAAGAATATATTTGTTCGGTTTGATAACCAGCTTGCCAGTAGATTAAAGCGCTGATGTTGTAACAACTTTCAATTACAATGTTTCCAAAACAATCATGTGTAGAGCCACAAAACTTAGTGCATATATGCATGGTATAAAGTTATTTAATGTCTATAACTTTCATCGCCATTGTTTTTGTGGTACATGTTTTATAAGAAAAACACATGCCCGTATGATGCTTACACAAAAGGCTCTCTTTCGTCAGCAATGTCAACAATATGAAATTTTCTGCGAATGCTGAAGCTATAAAGATATATGATTCTGAGCATTTTTAAAGCGAAAACTTAGGACTATTTGCTAGGAGAAGACGTTTTCAAAAATATTGTGCTGCTTCAGAATCATAGCCAAATTACTACGTCAATACATTCACACTTCATTTTCGACTTGATTTTAACAATGTTCAAAATGGTAGATAGAAGTAGAATCACTTTAGTATCAGCATTAAATAGTATATTTTCGTATGACAACGATATTGTATTATTTTTGCATTTGTTTTACTGATATAGTATTATCGAAAAATCGTTCTAGGTTGTTAAACTTGATTTATCAAAGTATTATAGCATTATTTTATTGAAATGCTATCTTCCGTTTTTTGTCTTTGCGATGAAAAAAGATCCGTTAACATTTTGATGTGCTCTAATCGAAGCTTTGTTGATAACAAGCAGTTTGTTTGGTTTCTTTCAGAAGTTGTATAATGCAAAGCCACATTAGGCATTCACGGATCAATATGCTGCATAGCTAACCATTTTGTCATCTTTTTAAAAAAGAATAGAAGAAAAGTAGTCAAGATATCTGTGAAGAATATGGCACAGATCCAACGCATACTTATTATCACTGAACATAGGTGCTAGCGAAGTATAGTTCGGTAAGCACCTAAAGATCAAGCCAATGTTCACCTATAAGTTCCGACCTAACTTAAAGGAGTGGCGCACCGGCCTAAGCAAGAGTCAAGCTTACTAATATTTCTGTAAGATAACACTACTGAAGAATACATTGAAAACTTATGCTACTTGAACGAACGATTTTCTGAAACATACAGTTTAAAGTCTAGATTGTGGGAATGCATAGGCTGTGTGAGCGCTTTATCTTCTTTTTTTTCATCAGCAAAATCAAGTAAGTAAGAGTCGACTCGATCATTGCACAGCCTATCGAAAGTTGAAGGAAGCTTCTAGTTGTCGATAAAAATGTTTTTTTTTGATTGTAGTGTAAACTCAGTTCAAAGCCTATTTTGATAAAGTATTCACCTCAGACTTGATGAGGTTTCTAGGTGCTCGCTATTTTTTCCGATCAGTTATGAAACAATTGAAAATTTTATCAGAAGAAAGTTTAAATTTAACAGATTCAGGATATCTACTGCAGTACAATGTTTAGTTACCCTCTTTTTTTATTAAAATTTTTTTCGATAACACGACAGCAATGAAAAATTTTCAAAAAGCTCACCCATCTTTTCTCTCTTTGATCAAAAAACAAATCCATTTTCTGACAGAGTGAAGTGCGCTCTACAATAAGACATACTTAAGTCTCAGAAATATGTTGGCCTTATTTCAATTACTCTAGTTGACCGTGAGTCGAACTATTAAATGCGAACATACTCATTGCCTATTCAAAGATAGATTACTGGACGACTGCCGAATATAAATAAATACTACAGTGGTTTCATTTTTATCGTGTAGACATTTACAATAGTACAATCTTGTTCAAATTATGCCGTTAAAGAAGCGTATGTTATAGGCTTATGGCGTTTTCCGACTAGTCGAATTTATACCTACAGAGTCAGTAAACACACTACAATAGTGCAATTTATTATTTCGAAATTGTCGTGCTTGTGCCATCAATGAAATTTGATACGCTAGTATTCCGACACTGATAGCCACATTATAGGACGCGGAAGCAGAAACTGACTCCTGCTTTTCTGCTGCCTGGTGATATGATGAGCTGCTTACTGGCTTATTCAATAGCCCGATACTTTCCTTACAGCTATAACTAGCTGTAGCTCTCAACAGAAGGCCAGCCTGAAACAGAGAGAGGTATGCTTCTCGTAGTCAGCATGTGATCGGACGGATGATTTGAAACAAGCAACTGTTAGTAACTTCTGCAGGGTCATGCCATGGATGGTGATGACGACGTTTGAGTACTGTAACTCGTGAATACGTGTTGGTCAACGTAGTCACTCTGGACATACCAACTCACATTACAATTTTTGCTTATACTAATGATAGACTCAAGTTGATTTCGCTATTGTCAATATTTTGGCGTTCTGTTGCGCGGTAATAAATTATATTCGACAACTTACATAGCCCATGGTCTGACCTGAAGGTGGATAGTAAAACTGTAAAGAGTATCCACATCGATCCGAATGACACATGGATTACAGAGTATCGATATTGGAAAGGTAGGCAAAACGAAAAGGAATTTATTGCAGCCAATTTATGAGAAAGCCAATATGGGCCACAAGAAGATGTAATGGAGACATATCTTTCACAATAGTATACAGTAGCACCAAAAATGGCTGAACAAATGTTATGGAGACACGCATCAAGCACAACATGGCACCTTCTACAGGTAGGGCTGTACCGCTCACGCTCATGAGCGCTCATATGAGCGTGAGCGTTTTTCGCTGACGCTCATGCTCACATGAGGGGTGGTCGCTCATGTGCGCTCATATGAACGTGTGCGACCACCCCTCACGTGAGCGTGAGCGTCAGCGAAAAAACGCTCACGCTCATATGAGCGCTCATGAGCGTGAGCGGTACAGCCCTATCTACAAGTACTTCTATGTTATGCGCTCAATAGTATTTTATACAATCCTTTAGGGTCCGTTAACTATATGCCACTGTATGGTGCTTTAGCTTGAAACGCTAGTTCGCATAGTTTGTACTGAGAGTTTCAGTGTATATTGTTGAGGTGTTTTCACAACATACTATAAAAGCAATGAGCATGTGATACTTTGAAAGTAATTTCTCAAAGGCTTCATTATTCACCTTAAAGAGAAACAGTGGACACTTCAGTTTCGAAGTCTTTAAAAACTTATGAAGTTTCTTGAAGTTTTGAAGTCTCTGTAGTTGAAGCCTTGAATTCTTGAAGCTTATTATCTCTCACTGGCCTTCGTCGTGAATGACATCTGATAGAATCACACATAACATGATTTTTCAAATATAAGGTCTTCCACAGTAAGAAGTTCGTACACTGAGGAGCGCTTAAGAGAGGGTCCGCGAGAAGACCACCCTACTCTCCATAGAGGTCG